AGCTGCTCTGCGGGAGAAAGATGAGGCTTTCTGCTCCCATAAAGATTTACAGCCTCGGAAACCCTGTTCAGGGTCGCTATGGGTTGGAACCGACTTGATGGCACTTAACAATAACAAGAACAAGGTAGCACAGGTTGTGGAAGTGGAAAACTGGAAACAATTCACAAGTTCATTGGTGGTGACGATGGTGGTTAAGTGCTGTTGAGTCAGTTCCAACTCACACTGACCCTGTACTGGGTTTTCAAGGAGTGACTGTTGAGTTTGAACCACCAACCTTTCAGTTAGCAGTCCACACCGGGACTCCTATCCATTGGAAGGGGAACAGAATAAAACAAACCTGTATGTTTCAACATGGACAGATCTGGAAAGCAAAAGGTGCAGACAAAGATGGTTAACCTGTTAAGTGTGGTGTCATGTCATTTACATAAAGAAAATAAAGCCCAGGGACACAAAACAAAACTATACATTATTTATAACTCTACATATGTGGTATCAGAAAAAGGAGCTGTGGTGACTCAGTGATTAAGCACTTGGCTATTAACCAAAAGGTCTGACGTTCTAACCCTTCAGCAACCCCATGGGAGAAGGGTGCAGCTGGTCTACTTCGATAAGAATTGTTGTTGTGAAGTGTCATGGACCCATAGCGACAGTTCTGACTCACAGTAACCCTGGATAGGGTTTCTGAGGCTTTATATCTTTGCAGGAGCAGAAAGCCTCATCTTTCTCCAAAGGAGCGGCTGGTAGACTCGAACAGAGAATCTTTTGGTTGATGCTCCAGTGCTTATCCTATGAAGCCACCGTATTCCTCTGTAAAGATTCCAGCCTTGGAAAACCCATGAGGCAGCTCTGCACTGTAACATGGCATGACAGGAGTGCTACGAGTCAGAAGCAACTCAACGGCAGTGGGTGTGGGTTTGAGTGAGAAAAACATACGTGAACTAGACATACATTAAATTCATGACAGTATCTTCTGGGAAATCAGAGATGAAAAAAAAGGGGGGAGATAAGGCACAGGGGACTTCAAATGTATCTGTGATGTTTCTCAATTTAAAAATACATGCAAGTGATTATTCATTTTGAGTGGAGTTTATGTGGGTGTTTATTAAATCCTTTCTATGTTAAAATATTTCTTCAGTAAATAAGATAATACCTAAGACTGCTAACTTTATTATACGTCTTCAGCAATTATAATACACAAATATAAACAAGGAAATTTAAAAGAATTTTTACATTATTTTATATCCTCAACTATAGGAATGCTAAGTCATTTTACATTGCATCATCTAAGTCCACTTATAAATTTTTTTATGCTGAGCTTCAAAAGGAAAACGAACAAAAAAACATCTATGACACTTAATGCGTATATTAGCAGTCAACTCTTATCCCTCAGAAAGTAACCCACAGATTGAAATAGGATTATAAAAGACATAGAGGTTCAAGTTCCATTTCCCATAATAGTCAGGGAAAAATGAACCTACAAGCCTGTCTAACTGAACAACCTTCCAAATTTCTGTTTTTAAGAGACTTACTATTGATGATGATTTAAGGGCAAATCAGCCATAAGATATAAACTTATTATGGGATTTGCGGGGGAGAGGGAATACTTTCTCCTCCTTTTAAAAATTTATTAGTTGAAAATTTTATGATTAGCAAACGTTTTAACAAAATTAAGATAAAATTTTTATTATAAGAAAAACAGATTTTTGATATAAATACACTAAATACGCGAGTATTTTCTTAATGCCATGGAGTCAGTTCCAACTCATAGTGACCCTGTAAAGGATTTCCAAGGCTGTAAATCTTTATGGAAGCAGAAGCCTCATCTTTCTCCTGTGGAACCACTGGTAGTTTTGAACTGCTGACCTTGAGGTTAGCAGCCCTACTTGTAGCCACTACACTACCAGAGCTCCTTGAAAAAATAAAGCTTACCTTAATGTGCTGTTAACTGCTCCAAGTTTATTAGCTTGCTCACAATCTTCAAATTCTCTAGTATCATTTGCCATTTTCAAGTACTGTAAGAAAGTTCATAAGTAACTTTAAAATATAATTACTACTTTTATCTCTATTTCAGGCTATGCTGGCTGAATAATTAATCTGTCAATGATGATATAAGCACACTCTATTATCAAAGTCATTCATATAGGTAATACAAACCACAGATAAAGCACAATTTCCATCTTTAAATGAGCAAAGACATTACAAAGAAAATAATTAGTTATCAGTGTGCTGATAAAGCTGAAAACTGAGGAAAATCTCTTTGGAAAGTAACTTGACAATATACGAGGGTGAGTAAAATATTATTCACCCTCTGGCTGTAGAATTAGTTTTAATCAACTTTTAGAGATGACAAATACATCAGTTTCAACATAATCTCCTTGCTGTTCTATACACTTTATCCATTTGTCAACAAGCTTTCATATTCCCTTACTAAAAAAACTTTGAGGCTGAGCTGCGAACCACGAATGCACCACTGTCTTCATTTCATCAGAGGTGAATCTTCACCCTCTAAGGGCTACTGTCATGGGACCAATGGGACAAGGTCAGGACTATAGGGAGGACGCTTTCAACACCTCAAAATGAAGTTTCTGCAGTGTCAACAGTGTGGCAGAGGTGTGTGGATGTGCATTGTCATATAAGACCACAATGCCCTGGGATAGCAATCTTCCATGTTTAATCCAAAGTTTAGTCTTTAGCTCTTCAGTAACCATCCCACTGTAATGAATACTGTTGACTGCTGAACCTTTTTTCTGATAGTGTTCCAGTACTGACCTTGAGAGTCCCAGAAAACTGTAAACAATTTTCCAGCTGATGGTTGACTTTTGAACTTGTTTTTGGTCAACACCTGCGGATGTTTCCATTCCATACTCTGCCGTTTACTCTCAGGTTCATAGTGATGAATCCATGTCTCATCACCAGTAATGATTTTTTTAAAGAAACTTTTACCTACCTTCAAGTATCGGTCTAAATTTTGTTTGCAGATGTCTAAACGCTTCTGTTTATGCTCTTCCATGAGTTGTTTCGGTACCCATCTCACACAAACTTCTTGAATCCCAAGTCTGTTGGGATTACTTCATAGGTAGAGCCATGGCTGATTTGCAAATGCTTTGCCACAGAGTCCACTGTCACTCATCTAGTCCACAGAATCAGTCCATGCACATGCCCAGTGTTGTTATCAACTGTGGACATGACCAGGCGTTTTACTATAACCCGAGTGCAGATCATTTTTTACTCACCCTCTTATATCTAGGGTTATAAAAATGTATAAACCCTTGAAGCAGTAATCCCACTACTGAGACCATATCCCAAGGCAACAGTTAGAAATACAAAAAGAGGTACAGTTACTTTAGTAAGTTATTTGGTATTGTCTCAGGATGGTGGGACTGACTCACCTACCCCATGGCCCAGCAACGCTACTACAGAAACTCACACACGTGTGCACAAGGACACAAAGGACAAAGCGAATACTGGGAATGACTGAAGTGTCTGTCCACAGAGGAGTGGCTGGCCTGTGATAAGGTCAGACAACTGAACACTACATTGCTGTTAAGATGAACCAACAGGAACTAGACACAAAGTGGAAATGTTCAGTATCTTTTCTTTCCCCATTTTTCAACAAGTTTTTGCAGCACCCTTGTATATGTTAAAAAGGATAAAAATCTCCAAAGTATGTTGCGTAAAACTAAAAACTAAAAAAAAAAAAAAAAATCAACTTGAAGCAATACAAAGATACAGTATCAATCAATGTTTAAATTTTACACAAAACCATATTATTATTGTGGAAAGCACTTGCAATTAAAGGATAAAACCACAGAAGGGTCCACGTCAACTTCAGAAAAGTGGTTAGTTCTGGGGAGGGGGAAAGAGGTTCAGAGGGGGTTTCAACTGACATTGTACTGTTGTACTTATGTATTGTTGATTTAAAACAAAAATAAATGAAAGAAAGAAAGCACAAACAAAAGACCATAAGGGAGACAGAAAGAAGATGGAGAGAAGATGCATGAGAAGGCAGAGAGATAGTGTGATGGCGTACATTGGTACATTAGTGAAACACTCCAAGTAAACTGTTATCGAAGCACACATTAATGGCCAAGCAAACCATGCATGTTCATAAGAGAAAAGGTGAATCGTAATAAAGTGCTATTTCTAAGACCACTTGAAAGTACTCTGCTGAAAATATCTTGTTATTTACTATCTATAAATTATTATCCTGAAAATGATACACTGACTAGTCGAAACAGAAGACAAAAAATGCCTGGGTGGTAAAGCACCTGCTGATCTATTATGTAATCATGTAATTATGACATCATTAATTACATTGGATCTAGAGAGTCCCTGGAAGCAGAACCGAGGTAACTTTAAAGAAGCTATAGAATTGAACTCTAAAGGAGCAAAGAATGCAAGCCCTCTCCACCTGCTACAACAATATGGGATTTGGGGTTCTGAGGCAAAACGCCTCCGTTCCTGGCAAACTCTACTATATAAAAGCACGAAAAAAAAGTGACTCACCTTATTAGAACTCCCAGCTTTAATTCCAACGGGAATTTTACTCTTAAAAGAAAAACAATACAAGAGTTTAAAACGTATTCTTTATTTTATTTTATTTGGATTTCTTTAGACACTAGTAATGCCACTGCCATAATGCTCAGGGTGTTTTACTCCGTAAGGAGTGACTGGGAATTCACTCAGATTCTATTCTGACACAACCTCTTGAGCCCAACTAACAGACTTGTAAATGCACAGAAGAGAAAGATGAATTATGGAACAAAGTCAGAGTCAAAATCAGCTCTAATAACTCCCAATGCAGTGAATTAAAAACAATTCATAAGTTTTAAATAAAACGAAACATAATGTTTAATTTATTAATAAACGACTGGTATAGAGTAGTTTAATAATAAATAACTAAATTATTTTCCATAAATCTCATTACCACAGACAGGGAAGCTTTAACAAATTCAAAATTCGTACATCTATGTTATGTTTACCCCTGGAGGCAAAATGGCTGCTCAACATTCACGCTGCGGGAGAAAATGCGGAAGTTGTTGTTATTGTTGTTAAGCACCACAAATCGATTCCGACTCAGAGCAACCCGGTATAGGGTTTCCGAGGAGCAGCTGATGGGTCTGAACTGCCAAGCTTGTGGTCTGCAGTCTAGTGCTGACCCTACAGCGCCACTCCACTGTGATCACAGCCTTGGAAACCCATAGGACAGGTCTACTCTGCCGCCAGGCGGGCCACTGG